CGGGATACTTCGGTGAACTTTCCTCTTGTGTAGATGCTCTCAATCTTATCTTTTGACTGTCCTTGATACTTGTGTGTGTTGAGATTCACTCCGGGTTACTTCGGTGAACTCTCCTCTAGGTATATTGCTTCTAATTTTGTCTTTTGGTTGTAATTGGTGTATGTGTGTGTGGCGAGGTGTTTCGAGATGTGCTGCTATGTTTCTCCCTAGTATAGAGTACTCAAACCTTGTCATTTGGCTGTAACTGGTGTGTATGTATATACGTGTGTTTGTACTGCAGCCCGGTGGTTCAGTGCAGTCCCTTCTTACCTTTGTTGTAACCGGTGACATGTGAAGTGTGTATGTGTGTATGTGTGTATGTGTGTATGTGTGTATGTGTGTGTGTGCTGCAGTCTAGGTGGTTCAGTGAAATCCCTTCTCACCCTTGCTGTAACCGCTGACATGTGAGGTGTGTATGTGTGTATGTGTGTGTGTGCTGCAGTCCGGGCGGTTCGGTGCAGTCCATTCTCATTCTTGCTGTAACCGGTGACATGTGAAGTGTGTCTTTGTGTATGTGTGTGTGTGCTGCAGTCCCGGTGGTTCAGTGCAGTCCCTTCTCACCTTTGTTGTAACCGGTGACATGTGAAGTGTGTATGTGTGTATGTGTGTGTATGCTGTAGTTCCGGTGGTTCAGTGCAGTCCCTTCTCACCCTTGTTCTAACCAGTGACATGTGAAGTGTGTATGTGTGTATGTGTGTGTGTACTGCAACCTGGTGGTTCAGTGCAGTTCCTTCTCACCTTTGTTGTAACCGGTGACATGTGAAGTGTGTATGTATCTATGTGTGTGTTGCAGTCCGAGTGGTTCAGCGCAGTCCATTCTCATTCTTGCTGTAACCGGTGACATGTAAAGTGTGTATGTGTGTATGTGTGTGCGTGTTGCAGTCCGGGTGGTTCAGTGCAGTCCCTTCTCACCCTTGCTGTAACCGGTGACATGTGAAGTGTGTATGTGTGTGTGTGTGTGTGTGTGTGTGTGTGTGTGGGCTGCAGTCCGGATGGTTTAGTGCAGTCCCTTCTCATTCTTGCTGGAACCGGTGACACATGAAGTGTGTATGTGTGTATATGGGTGTGTGCTGCAGTCCGGTAGTACAGTTCAGTTCCTTCTCACCTTTGTTGTAACCGGTGACATGTGAAGTGTGTATGCGTGTGTGTGTGTGTGTGTGTTGCAGTCCGGGTGGTTCAGTGCAGTCCCTTCTCACCTTTGTTGTAACCAGTGACATGTGAAGTGTGTATGTGTGTGCGTGTGTGTGGGCTGCAGTTTCGGTGGTTCTGTCCAATCCCGTCTCACCTTTGCTGTAACCGGTGACATGTGATATATGCATTTGTGTGTGTGCTGCAGTCCCGGTAAATCAGTTCGGTTTCTTCTCACTTTTGTTGTGACAGGTAACCTCGGAGAAGTAATGTATGGTAGGGTGGCCTGGTTCCAGGATCAGGGGTCGTGACCGGCGGTGAGCCAGGCGCTTGATTAGGGGGCAACACGGGCTAAGGATCGCTTTGCACATGTCCTCTCGTCATATTCACCACTATTCTCCCACCTTAAGTCTCCTTCCTCCGTCACCTACGCCGTCGACCATAGTCGACCACCCCCAACCCTTCTTCTACCTCCATCACCTTCACCCATCCACCATAGCCGACCACCCCCAGCCCTTCTTCCACCTCCATCACCTACACCCATCCACCATAACCGACCACCCCCAACCCTTCTTCCACCTCCTTCACCTACACCCATCCACCATAGCCGCCCACCCCCAGCCCTTCTTCCACCTCCATCACCTACACCCATCCACCATAGTCGACCACCCCCAACCCTTCTTCTACCTCCATCACCTACACCCATCCACCATAGCCGACCACCCCCAGCCCTTCTTCCACCTACATCACCTACACCCATCCACCATAGACCCAACCCTTCTTCCACCTCCATCACCTACATCCATCCACCATAGTCGACCACCCCCAACCCTTCTTCCACCTCCATCACCTACACCCATCCACCATAGTCGACCACCCCCAACCCTTCTTCCACCTCCATCACCTACACCCATCCACCATAGTCGACCAC